TGGTAAAGGATGTCGACGCTAAGACCACACAACCTCTGGGCGACACTCTAGGTCATAAACCAAGGCAACCTGATAGTCGATGGGAGAAGACCAGGGAGGGGAATAGTGGTCTGACCAATTGCGGGTCCAAGGTAATTTCCAGGGAGAATGTTGAAGTGAAGTCGGCGGGGAGCCTCTGTACTGAGGCTGGTCACGTCGTTGTGTAATCAGGCTCGAGCCGTGCTCTACCATTTCATGTTATATCCATGGTTAGTGTGTTTACTTGGAATTGTAGGGGGGGGGGGGGGGGGGGGGGGGGGGGGGGGGGGGCGGAAGTAAACGCTTTCAGCAAGTGTTTCGGTAATATCGTCGGAAATATAGACCGGATATTATTGTGATTATACTGGAACCGCGAATTAGTGGAGAGAGGGCACTTGAAGTTGTTGACGAATTGGGTTACGAGAAACAACTAATGGTGGACGTTGTGGGTTTTGCAGGAGGCATATGGCTGGTTTGGGACTCGGGAGCAGTCTCAGTGACAGAAGTGAATCGATCATCACAGTTTCTACATGCTGAAGTCTCCAGTGGTCGTGACCATTGGTTCCTCACTGCAATTTATGCAAATTCGGCATTGGTACAACGTCGTGAGCTGTGGTACTCTATTTGAGATCTGGCGGAAGATATGGTTGATCCGTGGCTTCTTACGGGCGGTTTCAATTCCATTTTGCAACCCTCGGACAAGCTGGGGGGCGCTGCTTTTGATGCTAGTCGGGCGCGTGAGTTTCAGGATTGTGTGTTGGATGCTGGCTTAGTTGATTTGGGCTTCTTGGGGACACCTTTGAATTGGTTTCGTTCAGGGACTAAAGAAAGACTTGATCGGGGTCTCTCGAATTCGGCGTGGTCATCTATGTTTCCTGATAAGATAGTCTATCATCTCCTGTGGATTAAAAGTGATCATCGACCTCTTCTTATTAAGATTGACCCAAATTTCATAGACGCGGGGCTAAAGCCTTTCATGTTTCTGGCTGCGTGGTTACTGCATGAGGGATTTAGTGATCTGGTAACTAATGCACGATAGCGGGCATGACCTCATCTCAGCTATTGAAGCTTTCTCGGTGCAAGCTTCTCATTGGAATATTCACACGTTTGGTAATATCTTGAGGAGGAAGAACTCACTTCTCTCAAAGAGGGATCGTTTGGAGAGAAAGTACAGTGGTGACTCGAATAATGTTGACCTTAAGCTTGCGCGGGTTGAGCTGGAAGAAGTTCTTTTTCAAGAAGAGATACTCTGGTGTCAGAAATCATGCTTGGAGTGGATCTCTTCGGGAGACAAAAATACTAAGTATTTTCACTCTAGGACAATAAATCAACGGCGGCGAAATAGGGTACGTGCTTTAAAAAAGTGGTGGGTGAATGGATTGAAGACCAGACTCTCCTCATAGAACTTGCCCGAGAATTTTTCACAGCTCTTTATACGGATGATGACTCGGATTTGCCTTCAATCTACGCTGCTTTTGATGCAATACTGGAGAATTTGAGGCCAACGCTAGATGTACAGCTCACAGGAGAGGAAATTTTCCTTGTTATGAAGTCTATGGGACCGTTGAAAGCACCGGGTAAAGATGGACTAAACCCTTTATTTTATCAGCGGTGTTGGGATGTTGTGGGAGAAAAAGTGATACATTTTGTTCAAGATTGTTGGCTGGCGCCAAAACGCATTGAAGCCATTAATGATACTATTATTTCAGTGATACCCAAAGTCCCAAAGCCATCCTTGATCGAGCAATGTAACATACAAGATGATTACTAAGTGCTTGGCAGAGAGGATCAAGCCACTGATCCCCCGCCTAGTGCATGAGACACAAATAAGCTTTGTACCAGGGCGTCAAATTACTGATAATATTTGCATTTTGACCGAATCAAATAAAGTTGTTCACTCAATGCGGGCGAAGCAGGGCAAGAAAGGGTGGATAGTCTTGAAGATTGACCTTGCCAAAGCTTACGACTGAATCAAATGGAGTTTTGTCTGTGATACTCTTGAGACAACAGGAGCACCGCGATGCTTTATTGACATTACCATGGGTTGCATGCCTGCATCTCTTCCGCCAGAATGCAGATTTAGTGGAACTGTGGTCTCACAGAGGCTTTCCATCCTTCGAGGGGCTTGCGACAAGGCTGCCCGCTCTCTCCTTACATCTTCACCATATGTATGTAGAGGTTGGGACATTTGATATCACCGGCGGTGGAGAGTGGAGCATGGCAGCCGATTAAGTTATCGTCACATGGACCCCGGTTGTCCCACTTATTTTTTGCTGATGACCCTATTTTATTCAGTGTGGCTTCTGTAGAGCAGGTTCAAGTGATCCTCACTTGCCTCAAGAACTTCAGTGCAGCATCTGGGGAACAAATTAGTGGCCCAAAATCGAGAGTGTTCTTCTCCAAGAATGTGGTTGGCCCATGAGAGTGCTACTCTGAGAGTTGCGTTGGACATTGCAGAAACTAAAAACTTGGGACTATATTTGGGAGTGCCAGTAATATATGATAGGGTATCTAAGGCTGCCTACACGGAGTTGATTGATAAAGTTGACTCAAGGGTTGCAAGTTGGAAGGTACAATCCCTATCTCTTGCGGGAAGGATTACACTAGCCCAGTCAGTGCTGTCATCCTTGCCTGCGTACACCATGCAAACGTCTTTCCTACCAGCAGTTGTGAGAGATTATATTGATAAGAAGACAAGGGATTTAATCTGGGGTAGTTCAGAACAAGGACGGAAAATACACCTTGTTGACTAGGATACGGTATGCAAACTGAAAGAGGAAGGTGGCCTAGGCCTGAGATGTGCTACCAAAATGAATGAGGCGTTCATGGTGAAGATTGCATGGCACTTATTCACAGAGCAGGATAGTCTTTGGGCTCGAGTTGTCAGGGGAAAGTATCGATGGCGGACTGCTTAGGGATGGGAACCAATGGCGAACGGTCGATTATCGAACCTGTGGTGGGGAACGCTTCGCATAATACATAATATCCCAACATGTACGATGTGGAACATTAATAGTGGTATGCAAGCTAAATTTTGGACTAACAGGTGGCTTCAAGATGGGCCCCCGCTGGTTGATTTCGCAGTCAATTTCCCTGGCGAGGCTAAGAAGCTCACCGTTGCTGAACTTGTACTTAATGGGAACTGGAATGTTAACTTCGTCATGGCATTTCTCCCCGAAGAGCTCGTGCTCCATCTGGAGTTACATCTAGTCCCTCGTGTGGGAGTACCAGATACTCCTTTTTGGAGATTCACACCATCTGGACGCTTTTCTCTTCAAACGGCCTATGAACTTATTAGAGGGGAAGGTGAGGAGAACCATTCCCATCCTATGTGGAAAGCAGCTTGGCGCATACAAGGAACACAAAGATTGAAAGTTTTTTTCTGGTTAGTTCTCCACCGCCGCCTCCTAACCTATGCTGAACGGTGTCGACGCCACATAGGAACTTCAGACAGCTGGCCTATTTGCCGAGGAGGTCCTGAAACGGCGATGCATGCCATAAGGGATTGTCCCTATGCTCGTCTTGTGTGGGCAAATTTTCTTGCAGGTTAGCCGGATGAGGTATTCTTTGATGGGAGTCTAAACAGATGGGCAATGCACTACCTTGCAGGCCGGAGTGAAGTGGTGGACTCTATTATTTTCGCTATTATTTGTTGGAAATTATGGAAGAATAGGAATGAGTGGGTTTTCGAGAAAAGTATGGCCACTGCGATTCCACTAAGTATTCGAGTGAAAGAGCTTTGCAGCTCGACTGAGCTTTTAATAACGCGAGGGCTGTTATGGGACGTGAGGCACCTAAAGCCGCGAGCTTTGTCAAGTGGCAGAAACCTCCGAGCGATTGGGTTTGTTTAAACACAGATGGGTCAGTTATTAATACTCAAGGAAGGACGACAGCAGGTGGAGTGTTGCGCGACAGTGAAGGGAGGTTCCTCAAGGCATTCACAGCTAATCTCAGCGGTGGACCAATTAACCACGCTGAGTTGGCCGATATCGCTCATGGATTGCGACTTTCCTGGGAAATGGGGTTCAGGAAAGTGCTTTTTCAGACCGACTAATCCACGACCATTAGCTGGTTGCAAAGTGATAGGCCAGGTCACCCTCATCGCACGCTGGTGGAAACAATTCGGGCGCTGATGGAGAAAGACTGGGAGATAGCTTCTACACATGTTTACCGCGAAAGTTATTTCGTGGCGGATTATTTGGCATCTGTTGGCCATACCTAGTCGATTGGTATTTGCATAATTGATGTCCCGGGTCCTATGCTGCGATATTGGCTGTATTTCAATACCATTGGGGTTCAAACCCCCCGTTTGATTAATATTTAAGGGTTAGAGCGCCCCATGCGCTTTGTATAAACAAAAAGTTCTAAAATTTTAAGCGAGTTCCAGTTTTTATTCATTTTGCTTCTATTCAGAGTTTTTCTTTTTCACCCGCGTTAGAATTTTCAACAATTATTTTTGGCTAGGTCTACACATATCAAATACACACTTTTCCATTTTTCTATAAAAAAAATTAAATAATTATCAACTTATATACATCACCATAAAAGAAATTAAGTCTCAACAGGCAATTACAACAATATAATGGGTGAGTAGCCCGCGACAAAGCGCGGTTCCAGCCTAGTACAATTTACATTGAAGATGTAAATTTTATCGGGAATTTTTTTTAGGATGCTTGATGAATGCAAATTACCAACCGAAGGATTGTTGCCCTAATTAATTGGAGTACTGCGTTGCCAGCTACAACGCATCAGTAAGCTAAAAATGGACACACAAAGCCCTTACTATGTAAAGGAAGACTAAACCATACTCGAATGAATAATAAAATTAAACTTCACCACATGCATAGTACGTATACAACCGGGACCGAGCTTGCCTTGGACGCATCCAAATTGCTGACATGAGCGAGCGCCACGCCATTGAAACCAAATTCCTCAGGCTAGACCTCAATTATATAAACCTGGCAAATCCCCCCTTGCTTCGTCACACCAAAGGAACAAAGCCTAGTTACTACACACTAGCATCTATTCTCTCCAGTCATTCTCAGCCCGAAAGAGCAATGAGCAGCATCGCCGCCAAATGGAAGAAACTGAGCGGCGAGGACCACTGGGACGGGCTGTTGGATCCACTCGACGCTGACTTCCGGCGGTACCTCATCCACTACGGGGAGCGGCTGCATTCTGTGTACGACGCATTCAACGGGGAAACAAGGTCCAAGGCGTACGGATTCAGCCGTTACCCACCGGAAAACTTCTTCTCCAGGGTCTTCCTCCAGAACGGGAAGCCGTACAAGTACCAGATCACCAAGTTCTTCTACGCCTCCTCGGAGTTCACGCTGGGCGACTGGATCGTCGCCGGCGGGTCCGCGTGGATGGGGTACGTGGCGGTGAGCACGGAGGAAGGGAAATCCATTTTGGGGAGGAGGGATATCTTGGTTTGCTGGAGGGGAACCTTGACCAACGTGGAGTGGTTCCAGGACGTGAATTTCCCGGCTGTTTCGGTTACCGAGGTTTATGGGACTGCCCATAATCCCAAGGCTCATCAGGGTTTCTTTAGTGTCTATGCTCACAAGAACCCGGATTCTACCTACAACAAGAACAGTGCCCGTGAACAGGTAATTATTGTTGTTGAATGTTGTGGTGAACCGTGGAGTTCTAACATGTGACTGCAGTAATGTTTATTCATTGGTACGGTCTACAGGTTTTGGCGGAGGTGAGGAGGCTGGTGGACAAGTATCGCGAGGAAGAAATGAGCATAACCGTGGTGGGACACAGCTTGGGCGCCGCCCTTGCAACCCTAAACGCGGCGGACATCGTGGCCAACAACTACCACAAACCAACCGGTTCGACCGCTGGCTGTCTGGTCACGGCCTTCGTCTATGCTAGCCCACTCGTTGGCGACTGGGGCTTCTACAACATGTTCAACGCACTGACGGACCTCCGGCTGCTGCGGATCAGGAACCTGCCCGACCCGGTCCCAAACCTCCCGCCCAAGCTCTTGGGGTTCTCCGAGGTCGGGAAGGAGCTTCTCATCGTCTTTGCTTCCCCTTACTGTAAGGTGCTTCTCAACCCACACAACTTGGAGCTCTACATGCATGGAGTCGCGGGTTACAACGGGTTGAAACCGTTCAAGCTCGTGGTGGAGAGAGACATCGCGTTGGTGAACAAAGGGGAGGATCATCTCAAGGAAGAGTACAACGTGCCTCCGAAATGGTGGAACGTGAAGAATAAGGCCATGTATCAGTTGGATGATGGGTCGTGGGATCTGCGCGACTACATGCCTCCTCCTCCAGAGTTCGTCGTCCTGTTATAAATTTTACGTCCGGTTTAAATATTACCTCCAACGTTTAAAATGCAAGCAAGAAATCGCATGTTGGTAGATACGAAGGGTTGTGCGTAATAATTGGAGGGTCTTAGTAAGCTGAGTATTTTGGATTATGGTAAGTAATAAATAGATTTTGAATAATTCGTCGGGGGTAACAAAAGATGTGATCAACTGGACACCGCCGGTGGAAGGAGCTTTGGACCTTTTGTTCAACTTTTCTGGTTATATTGTATTGTGTTGTTTTGTCTAAGTTTCAATAAGAAAATAAATAATGTGTGCACAAACAGTTTCTTGTCCGTTATGTATGCCCTTGCCTATCCAACCCGTGTGTTTGTTTATTTGTTTGCCAATGGATGTATGTAGGGGTGTCGGTTCGGGTAGCCGAACCCGAAACATGAAAAATCCAAAAACACGAACCCGAACTACATACAATCCGAAACCGAACCTGTACCTTACGAGTTTCGGGTACAAGAACCCGAAAATATGCGGCGTGGTTTCGGATCGGGTCGGGTGAACCCTAACCCAGCTGTTGTGATTTTTTTATAACGGTAATTTTTTTTTAACTCTTTGTGATTTGATCTTTACATTCTTTTGTTTGTATGAACAATTTTATTCTTGTTATTTGTACATACTTATTAAATATTATGTTTAATTTTAGTGTTTTAATTTTAGTAATTAATTTTATGGGACATGAACAAAATAAAATTAATATTTATATCTTAGTTTATTATTAAAATATTAAATAAATATTAAGATATTTAATTTTATGCATTCTATAACTATTGACATATTATTAACTATTTAGGCGTATTACTAGTTTAGAGACAAAGTAACATACCTATACATATTTTATACGTAACTTAATCATACCTTATTTTACTATGTTAAGTAATACAATCTTTTGGGTCATTTAATTATGGGTTTTCATATTATTAAATATTTTGGTAATATTTAGAGGCGAATAATTGCATTCATTATAAAATAATTAACAATCATATATGAGATTCTCAAATGGTAACATCCAAGTAAAATCTAAGCCCATCCATCATAAACCAGATAAACACTACTACCATTATCACTCCTCCTCATCCGGCTTTACATCTACATAATTATCATCATTCCCATCAGAAGCGTCATCAAAATAGCCTTCTTCCACTTCTAACCCAGTAGGACTCGGATCAAACCATAGGTAGAATGAGAGCTTCCACTTGGTCCTGCAGCTTGTTGTTGTTTTATATAGTGAGTTAAGATGTGACCAGAAGGCAGAATCTTCGAACCCAGAGGAGTTGCTCGTGAAATCAACAATCTCCACTTCTGCACCCTGTCGTCTACTTTGGTCTCTTCATCGTTGATGGGTGGATCAGCGAGTGCCCATCTGGTCGCCGACGAATAGAGGATTCGAGTAACAAAAACCCAAAAAATTAGCTACCGTAAGAAGAACCCAATAACAAATTGGAGCAATAGAAGAATCGTTCGAACACTCACTTGGATTCCCTAGCATAAAGACCCCCAAGAGAAAAATCGAAGGGAAACCCTCAAAACCTTATATGTGAACACTGAATCTTTGCGGCCAACAAGGAACAGAGTATCAGGGGAAGATTCCAATTTGGCGTTGAGAAGGGATGCTCTGTTTCTCGACGTCGCCTCTCCTTATCGCGAAGCGAAGAGCGAACAACGAAGTGGTGAAGCGGCGAGGAAGGGATTCCTCTTTGTCAAAGACTGGAACCCTCCAACATAGTGCAAGGAATTTGATGGCGGCGGCCGGCGACGGATTTGATGGCGGTCAGAGGTCCTCACGAGGCCGCTGGCGTCGAGGACAATGATGGCGACGAGGGAGGCTCTGTTTCGTTAAGTTTGGGTGTTTGGCCAAGACGTAGAAACAGTGACTGCGAGCTTCCTGCGAGAACGAGGTGAAGGCTAGGGTTGCTCTCAAAACGACAGCGTGATGCTTGATCAGCTTTCGGGTTTCAGCAAACCGAAACTGCTACATTACATAGCGTGTTGAACTTGAAAAAACCCTAAACCGACAAGGTGCATATCGGTTCGAATTCGGATTACCCTGAAAACCCGAAACCGAACTGACAACCCTAGATGTATGACAAATGGTAGTTGCCGATAAACGTAGATCTTGCATGTTCATTAACGGGGACATACGATTTGGATGGTACGCTGCAAAGACACGTGCATCTATCTTGAATATAATTTAATAGAACGAATCACCGTGCTCTGATTTCTAGGCTTATTATTAAGTTTGTGAATCACATTGTAATTAACCAATTCGTGTTAATTGCTGTTAGGTTGGTTCAACCGTGTACTTACGGGGGAGAGCGTTTTAGCTAAACCCTTACAAGAAAATCATCAATAATAGAACAGGTGAGAACTCACGTTCTCTATGGACTAGTCCCGTTCTGACCGAACGGAAAAACCATGTATATCTTCTCTTGTTTTTCGTTTCCGCACTATTGATTTCTACATGGTATCAGAGCTGTGAATGGATTCATGGCCAACATTCACCATGAGCGGTAAAGAAGAAGGCACTACAAGAAACTGCTCCTTTGGCGACGGATTCTATTGCAACGAGGCAAAATTCGTCGCATAAAGTGAACATTTTGCAACGAATTTTATATTTTCGTCGAAGATTGTGTTAATATTCAGCGGTAGGTGGGGTATAGTATTTTTCAACGGTCGTTTATTTTCCACGACGAATTCTTTTGTCGCAAAACATTTTGGGGACTTTCTGTAACGATTGTCATCCGGTCGCAGAATATTTGGATATTGTCTGCGACGCTTATCTTCATCGTTGAATGTTCGGTACCTTTTGCGAGGAATATCTGGTGTCGCAGAATAGGTGAAAAATTCTGCGACGAAATATATTTCGTCGTAGAATATTTTGATCTTTTCTGCAACACTTTTCTTTCGTTGCAGAATGTTCAAGACTTTCTGCGATGATTTTTTTCCATCACAGAATGTTTGAGTCTTTTTGTGACGATTGTCTTCTGTCGCAGAATGTTCTAGCCATTTTGCGGATTAATAATATTTAGTGCATAAGTACCTAAGCACATAACTAAGTTAAAAAACTTATCGCATTCAATTGATTTGTGATTTTCGTATTAAGAAAGTTTATTTTATAAAAGGCAACAAAAACATATAATTATTTTATAGATTGATAAATCTTAACATATAATTGAAATGTCTATTGAATTATATTTGGTTTGTAAATAGTTGAAGATAACCTTTGAGCTCCGGTCCCTTCAATTCTACATGATTAAGTATTTAAGAGATTGTACAATGATAATTGGAATTGGTTTTAACCGAATGTTTCTAAGGATTTTGGTGGTTTTTAAAATCTTAAGCTTGATTAATGGTCAAATAGGAACGAAAAGTAGATGTTACAAACAGTTTTGTAGTATCCTAACTTGTTGAAACATTTGTCCTTGGATTGACAATAGATGAAGCTCGGTGGTTCCGATCCCCAAGGAGATGTTTTGGTTCTGCGACATTGTGGAGGCTCTATGGGAGCGTGTTATTTTTAGGAATTGTAAGGGTAGTTTGGTCAATTGAGTAGTGTTATTAGAGTATATAAATGAAGAGATGGGAGTAACAAAACAATCAATGGAAAATCTGCTACTCTCGGTGAGAAAAGCAAATTGGAAGAATAGGGTATCGTTGGTGGCCTCGGGCTTCGACTGCGCTGAGGAAGATCGACAAGGGGCTTGGCTTTTGGCCTTCGGCTGCGGCAAAAAGGCTACTCTCGATCAGAAAAGCGAATATCCCGGTAAAGATTTTGCCTGCATTTATGTTTTTCTTTTCGTTTTCTGGTTCAATACCTAGAGCTTGGGACTTGTCCTGAGGTTGATTCAAGTTGGAATGGAAACTAGAAGACTTCGTAAATCTAGGGAAGGCATTGGTTGAGAAAGTCTCAACGCAGAAAACCATTTTTGAGGGCCTCAATGAAGGTACCTCGAGCTGCCAGTCATCCGAGTCCTATTAGGATTCTAAGCCCTTTACGGATTACTTGTTTAATTAGTTTCCTTGATTAATTAGGTTAATTTCAGTCCTTGTTTTAGTTTGTTTGTAATTGTTTAAGCCTATAAAAGGCCTCATTCACGTATTGTAAGGGTCGGAGTTGAATAATTTAGAAAACCCGAATATTCTCGACTTGTGAGTTGTGAGTTGATCTTGGTTTTTGGTTGCGATCAAAACCTACTGAAGCTAGCCTATTAATCGAGCAAACCCACTCGATTACTTCAAAGGCATCCTTATAGCATTTGTGCATCCTCCCAAGTGTGAGGATTCCCTCTCGTTTCCATCCATTGACCGGCTCAAATAAGCTTACCCAAACACGTTTGGAAGTTCTGTTTTTGTGTTCTTAATCGAGGAAGTTTAACCCGAGGTTTCAAAGCCTCTTGGTTGCGTGACTTCTGACCAAAACCCTTCTTGGGGTTTATTAAGTGGCATCAGTAGCCTGGTTCTACACAGTGGCATCGAGGACGACGAAGAAGAAGAAGAAAACAGAGGCTGCAACAGCGGCGAAGTTGTCTGAGCTTGACAATACAGCTGCTAGGGACGATGAGGAATGATCTATGGGAGATCCTCAACCCCTCACGATGGCTGAGCGGCAACAGTTTTTCCAGCAACAGGTTGTTGCCCTGTTTCAGACCCAACTAAAAAACAGGATGAGAAGTTTAAAGCGCTCTCGTCCAAGTTTGATGAGTTGAATTAGATGGTCGCATTGATTAGCCAGCAAAGACCAGCTCCGACGACCCCGGATGGAGCCAGGTTCAACTCGAGCCTCAACAAACTCTGCCGGTGAAATTCTATAATTCGCCGCGGAATAGAGTCCCATACATCGATCAAGATCTGGTGGATCGGTTTCGAGACCTGGAACGACAACTAATGACTCTAGAAGTGAATCCCATCAATCAGAGATCCCACAATCGACGACAAATCAATTTTGCCGGAGCTGAACACGACAACGATCCTCTGGTATCGGAATTGCATGGAATTAAATTATCGATCCCAACGTTTCATGGGATGACCAATGCGTCGGCATACATGGATTGGGAGAGGAAGATTCTCCTGTTCTTTTGGTGTGGACAATATTCTGAGAACCAGAAATTGCTCCTAGCAACCTACGAGTTCCATGATTACGCCGCAACTTGGTGGGAGCAGATCCAAGTCTGGCGACTGCGGAATATGCAGGTTGAAATTACAACATGGGAAGAACTAAGTGGATTTATGCGAGAAAAGTTCATTCCCACTTAATACTGGCGCGAATTGCATGAGTTTGTGCAAGCAATTTGTCAGGGATCTTGCACGGTGGAAAATTATGCTAGAGAATTGGAAATGCTCATGACCAAATTTGAAATACAAGAAGATTCCGAGGCGATAATTTCACGGTCCTGTCTGGACTGAACAAAGAAATTCCATACGAATTGAAGCTTCGCCACTTTGTTGATCTGGAGGACTCCACCCACTTGGCTATCAAGATCGAGAGGCAGTTGAAGCAAGGCGCAGCAAAGTGAGTGGTCACGCCCAGACCAAGCAGTGCCCCTGAAAATTCTCCGCGCCCCACCATCTCCAATTCGTGTTGTGCACTTGAAGCCAATTCCCCAGCAAGGCAATCAAGACCGAGCTAGAAGTTCAATTAGCCAGTTGGAATGCTACAAGTGCCATGGAAGAGGGCACAAGTCCTTCCAATGCCCCAATCCAAAGGCATTAATTATGCGTGATGGGGAATACTACTCCGACGATGAGGAAAAGGAGAAGGAAGCAGCTACGGAGAACACAGACGAGGAGGTGGATGAGAACATAGAGATAGAGGCTCTAGGTGGACATTTCCTCATCCATAGGAGAGTCTTCACCATTGCGGAGGTTTGTGAAACCTAGCAGCGTGACAACTTGTTCCATACCTGCTGCCGAATTGATGCGATTACGACTAGTGAGATATTCAATTCTCGTGGTCCCAAAATGAAGGTTCGAATTCAACGATTTAAGGATCAACTGGGAGCATTCTTGATGGATAAAATGGAGAATACATTAAGAATCAGGCCTATAACATTTATTGGATCCCAAATCTTCCATCCTTGCTGCTCAAATCGTCCAAATGTGAAAAGGACAAGGAAAGAGATTGCTAAACCACTAAAGAAGCTCCTTACTAGCTAAGTATTCTCCAAACACGTTTTTAATGCTTAAGGAAGCTCCTTAGTGGTTAAGCAATCTCTTTCCCTGTCCTTTTCACATTTGGACGACTTGGGCAGCAAGGATGGACGTTTTGGGCTCCAAGGAATGTTATAGGCCAGATCCTTAACGTATTCTCCATTTTATCCATCAAGAATGCTCTCAGTTGATCCTTAGATCGTTGAATTCGAACCTTCATTTTGTGACCACGAGAATTGAATATCTCGCTAGTCGTAATCGCATCAATTCGGCAGCGGGTATGGAATAAGTTGTCACGCTGCTAGGTTTCACAAAACTCCTCAACGGCAAGGGCTCTCCTATTGACAAGGAAATGTCCACCTGGAGCCTCCATCTCTATGTTTTCATCCACCTCCTCGTCTGTGTTCTCCATCGCTGCTTTCTTCTCCTTTTCCTCATCGTCGGAGTAGTATTCCCCATCACGCAGAATTAATGCCTTTGGATTGGGGCATTGGAAGGACTTGTGCCCTCTTCCATGGCACTTGTAGCATTCCAACCGGCTAATTGAGCTTCCAACTCAGTCTTAATTGCCTTGCTGGGGAATTGGCTTCAAGTGCACAACACGAATTGGAGATGGTGTAGCGACAGAGAATTTTCAGTGGCACTGCTTGGTCTGGGCGTGACT